TTTATATTCAGGAAAAAAATTACCCCATCCCCCCCCCCCCCCGCTGCCAAAACTATCAGACCACCCCCCCCTTATTTATCTGTCCCCCCCCCCCCAAATCTAAAGTACCTCGAAGTTTCGAACTAAACAATGTGTTTAAAAGTTAACTACTAATCTTAATTTAACCTAAAACACACTTCCTTATTAAACTATCAAATTTATAAAAGTGATATCTTCTGACAGAATACATCACAGCAGGTCGTTCAACATCCTTGTCAATTTCAGGTTGATTTGTAGGATAAAATAAATGTGTTTGATGTCACACAAGATCGTTACCTCCCCCCCCCCTCATGGTGTCACAAACTGTCAACAACACACTGTCATTCTTATTGTTGGTCCCTGTCTCAACACACTGTCATTCTTTTTGTTGGTCCCTATCAACAACACGCTGTCATTCTTATTGTTGGTCCCTGTCACAACACACTGTCACGCTGGTCGTTCGGGCCTCGCACTGCGCAAAGCACATGACATCAGATCAATAACATTGCTCGCTCATTTAGAAGACGGTCTCCCGCCCCCCCTCCCTCCCCTACCCTTCCCCACACCCTTTCTCGTGCCTCACTTACCTCCCTCTCTCCCCAGTGTCTTCCAGACACACGGTGGTTCCACCATTCGACCGCCACCGGGTGTCTGATTAGCGGGGACGACGCAGAAGGACACCGAGCCGCCGAACGCGTCCCACCTCCGCCTTGAGAACAGCGCTCACCGACCACAGCAACAACACAGCTACGGTGAACCGTGTTGCTCTCCTACCTGGGTCGGTGGACATCTCTCGCAGAGGAGCACATCTTTCGCAGAGCGGCACATCTCTCACAGAGCAGCACATCTCTCACAGAGCAGCACATCTCTCACAGAGAAGCACGTCTTTCACCAGAGGGGCACATCTCTCACAGAGGGCCACATCTCTCACAGAGGGCCACATCTCTCACAGAGGGACACATCTTTCACAGAGGGCCACATCTCTCACAGAGCAGCACATCTCTCACAGAGCACCACATCTTTCACAGAGGGCCACATCTCTCACAGAGCAGCACATCTTTCACAGAGGGCCACATCTTGGTGGATGTGGGGTGGGTGGGGGATGTGGGGTGTGAGGTGGATGTCGGGTGTGTGGTGGATGTGAGGTGTGTGGTGGATGTGAGGTGTGTGGTGGATGTGGGGTGTGTGGTGAATGTGTGGTGTGTGGTGGATTCGGGTGTGTGGTTGATGTGGGGTGTGTGGTGGATCTGGGGTGTGTGGTGGATGTCGGGTGTGTGGTGGATGTGGGGTGTGTGGTGGATGTGGGTTGGATGTGGGGTGTGTGGTGGATTTGGGGTGGGTGTGTTGGGTGTGTGTGGGTGTGGTGAGTGTGGGGGGTGGAATCTTGTTGACTTGTTCAAATGTAATGTCTCTAGAAATGATGGTAACGGGGATAATAAGAATACCATCACGAGTACTGGAATACCATCAGGAGTACTGGAATACCATCAGGACTACGGGGATACCATCAGGAGTACTGGGATACCACCTGGACTACGGGGATACCATCAGGACTACGGGGATACCATCAGGACTACGGGGATACCATCAGGACTACGGGGATACCATCAGGACTACGGGGATACCATCAGGACTACGGGGATACCATCAGGACTACTCATCTTTCCCAGAGGGCCACATCTCTCACAGAGCGGCACATCTCTCACAGAGCAGCACATCTTTCACAGAGGGCCACATCTCTCACAGAGCAGCACATCTTTCACAGAGGGCCACATCTCTCACAGAGGGCCACATCTCTCACAGAGGGCCACATCTCTCACAGAGGGCCACATCTCTCACAGAGGGACACATCTTTCACAGAGCAGCACATCTTTCACAGAGGGGCACATCTCTCACAGAGGGCCACATCTCTCACAGAGGGCCACATCTCTCACAGAGGGCCACATCTCTCACAGAGGGACACATCTTTCACAGAGGAGCACACCTTCGACCCCGGGTCATCCTATCTGCTGTGCAACTTGCGGAAATACTCATCTTCTGATTTCCTTCAATCAAGGTGAGATGACAGTTTCATCGGTCGTGATACTTTGTGAATGTAATATCGTTAGTGTTATTATTATTGTAGTAATCAAAACAGCAGTAACCCGTCAGCGCTGGTCTAAAAATTGACCTTGACCTTGGTTAGCCCAATAGTATCCTCTGTTATTATGGAACTGTATGTGTCTTGCGCATTTGAAAGGAAGTAAGGCGCAGTTGGGTTTGGGCGGGGGCGAGGGGGGGGGTGGGGGGCAAGCAGATTCACGCAGGGTTTAACAATAATTTGAGTAGACTGAGCAGTGGTTCTCGACCTTCCTAATGCCGTTTACACTTTAGTACAGTTCCTCATGTTGTGGTGACCCCCCAACATAAAATTATTTTTCGTTGCTACTTGATAACTATGCGTTTTCCGATGGTCTTAGGCGACTCCTGTGTAAAGGTTGTTCGAACCCCCTCCCCTTCCCCCCCCCAAGGGGTCGCTACCCACAGGCTGAGAACCTCTGCGTATCAAGGCATATCAAGAACGTTAGAGTGAGAAAAAAAGAACGATTTTTTTTTTTTTTTTTTTTTTAAAAAAGGTAAAAAATTTGAAGTCAAGAATTGTTGCTACAAAATCTAAATGTATAGAACTAGAAGTACGGCTCATTTCAAAGAAGAGGGACTGAGTCAGTGTTTGCACGCTATTTGATATGGATGTGTTCATTGGCGATATGGTCTAATCTAAGTTGTCTTTATCTCTTACGTAAGGATCAGTACTATGCAGTGGCAACACGAGATGGTTGCGTGTGGATGTGGGGGGGGCACTTAATGAGACCCCCACGGGGTGGGGTGGGGTGGGGGGGTGCGCGGGATGACTCCGAATCCAAAAATGTGCAAATTCAACTGCTCATTAGATTCGGTTACATATCTGAGTTTGATACAAGAGCAGGGTGCCACATAACAGAGTGCCACAAGGCCAGGGCGCCACACTAACAGGGTGCTCCCAAAGCGTCCATAGCGTATGTGTCCCATAAGAGCAGTGACACAGCTTCAGTTTTGTTCACCCTCCCCGCCCCCCCCTTTTTTAAAAAAAAAAGTGGGCCACGATTTAGCAATGTTTCACTAACCACAGGCTGAGAACCGCTGCGATAGACGTAATATAATGAACATATTTATCATAATACTTGTCATCGATGTATAAGATCAATCTTTTTTTTTGCCCAAGGCTCAGTGGTCTCTGGCCCGGGAGGTGCGGGGTGGGGGGGCGTGAGGGGGTTGTACTTACGACCAGTCTTAACCTATTGAAAACGCACGTATTACTAAAGTATTTAATTTTATTTGGGCCCGGAGCCCTAAAAGGCCCTCAGTCCTAAAAGGCCCTCAGTCCTAAAAGGCCCTCAGTCCTAAAAGGCCCTCAGTCCGAAAAGGCCCTCAGTCCTAAAAGGCCCTCAGTCCGACGATATGATATATAGCGAGGGGGAAAAAATGGTTTTCTTATGATATTTGCAGTGCTGTATTTTTGTCCTAAACCCATGCATTTGGGCACCAGCTATTCCGCAGTGTGGCATAAATATACAACCGAAGTAAACATAAAGAGAGTTTCAATGTCCATCACTAGTGTTATACTGCCATCATTTTCTTCTCCTAATTTGGGTAAACAATGTTTTTCGGGTCTTTCTTCAATTCTTTAGTCACCATATTTCTTACTTAGTTGAACCACTTGTATCACTTGTATGGCCTGTTCCACCTACATCAGCTGCATCACCTAGATCACCTGCGCCACCTGTATCACCTGTACCACCTACACCACCTGTATAACCCGTACCACCTACATCCCCTACATCACCTAGATCACCTACTCCACCTGTATCGCCTGTACCACCTAAACCACCTGTATAACCCGTACCACCTACATCCCCTACATCAGCTGCATCACCTAGATCACCTATGCCACTTGTATCACCTAGATCACCTACTCCACCTGTATCACCTACACCACCAGTACCACCTGTACCACCTGTATCACCTACACCACCTGTATCACCTTTACCACCTACATACCCTACATCAGCTGCATCCCCTGTATCACCTACACCACCTGTATCACCTGTACCACCTACATCCCCTACATCAGCTGGATCACCTACACCACCTGTACCACCTGTACCACCTGTACCACCTGTACCACCTGTACCCCCTGTACCACCTACCTACATGCCCTACATCAGCTGCAACACCTAGATCACCTACACCACCTGTATCACCTGTACCACCTGTACCACCTGTATCACCTGTACCACCTGTATCACCTGTACCACCTGTATCACCTGTACCACCTGTATCACCTGTACCACCTTCATCACTACTATCACTCGTCTCGGACGCATTCTAACCTTGTACTGGTCTTGCGACTTCGCCAAATGAAAGAAAAGATCGAACACTTGGCGAGGTGACTGACGAGATTGGCATCTTTGAAGACCGGGAAAATTTCAACTGTCCAGAGGGATGCTTAGACAAAAACGACAATGTGTCAACTGTCCAGAGGGATGCTTAGACAAAAACGACAATGTGTCAACTGTCCAGAGGGATGCTTAGACAAAAACGACAATGTGTCAACTGTCCAGAGGGATGCTTAGACAAAAAAGACAATGTGTCAACTGTCCAGAGGGATGCTTGGACAAAAAAGACAATGTGTCAACTGTCCAGAGGGATGCTTAGACAAAAAATACAAAGTGTCAACTGTCCAGAGGGATGCTTAGACAAAAAAGACAATGTGTCAACTGTCCAGAGGGATGCTTAGACAAAAACGACAATGTGTCAACTGTCCAGAGGGATGCTTAGACAAAAAAGACAATGTGTCAACTATCCAGAGGGATGCTTAGACAAAAACGACAATGTTTCAACTGTCCAGAGGGATGCTTAGACAAAAACGACAATGTTTCAACTGTCCAGAGGGATGCTTAGACAAAAACGACAATGTTTCAACTGTCCAGAGGGATGCTTAGACAAAAACGACAATGTTTCAACTGTCCAGAGGGATGCTTAGACAAAAACGACAATGTTTCAACTGTCCAGAGGGATGCTTGGACAAAAAAGACAATGTGTCAACTGTCAAAAGGGATGCTAAAAATACAATGTTTTTGGTCCTTTTTTAAAATCAGTCACCCTCAAATTCTGTTTTGTGTTTTCTTCCCATGTCTTCTGTTTTTTTTTTCCTTCCAATGTCTTCTGTTTTGTGTTTTCTTCCCATCTTTTCTGTTTTGTGTTTTCTTCCCATCTTTTCTGTTTTGTGTTCTCTTCCCATGTCTACTGTTTTGTGTTTTCTTCCAAAGTCTTCTGTTTTTTTTTGTTTTCTTCCGATATCTACTGTTTTGTGTTTTCTTCCCATGTCCACTGTTTTGTGTTTTCTTCCCATGTCTACTGTTTTGTGTTTTCTTCCCATGTCCACTGTTTTGTGTTTTCTTCCCATGTCCACTGTTTTGTGTTTTCTTCCCATGTCTACTGTTTTGTGTTTTCTTCCCATGTCTACTGTTTTGTGTTTTCTTCCCATGTCTTCTGTTTTGTGTTTTCTTCCCATGTCTTCTGTTTTGTGTTTTCTTCCCATGTCTTCTGTTTTGTGTTTTCTTCCCATGTCTTCTGTTTTGTGTTTTCTTCCCATGTCTTCTGTTTTTTGTTTTCTTCCCATGTCTTCTGTTTTGTGTTTTCTTCCCATGTCTTCTGTTTTGTGTTTTCTTCCAATGTCTTCTGTTTTGTGTTTTCTTCCCATGTCTTCTGTTTTGTGTTTTCTTCCCATGTCTACTGTTTGCTTGTTGACTCAATTTAACAAAAATCAGCTCAAAAAGCGAAATCTGTGTAATCAGGTTAAGAATCACAATGTGCAGCTCCGGATTTGTGTCTGGGTGTGGGTGTGTGTGTGGGGGGAGTAAGGGGGCTTTGTCAGGAGAGAAAAAAAATTGGGAAGGGACACATGAGTTTACCGCACCGGGTGACACCAACCTGAGTGCCACCTCTGATTCTATGTTGTCTAGATTTAATAGATAAGTAAAGTTTTTTTTTTCTTCCTGTTGTATGTATTGGTAAGGTAAGGAGTTTCCAAGAGGAGGGACACACTGAATTTCTTGAAACGAAACGGGCCAAAGTGTTTGCTGGTAATGCTATTTACCCTCGTTGTCAAGAAGAATGTACCCATCTGACCAAACGTTTAAAGACATTTTTTAATTATTTTTTTTTTCGGGGTACATTTGAGTTATATCTTAGCAAAAAAATTGTGTATTCTAAAAAAAAACAAAAAAAAAACTAACCAAATAAGGAAACTTATTTCAATGTGAATCTCAAAGTCCACGAGATGTGGAAGACATGGATACGACAACAAAGAGGAATGCGACTTTAACAAGGATATCGGAATCATTTCTAATATCTCTGAACTTGTATTTAGTTACCGGCAGGGGCGCCGACTTCGGCGAGATTTACGAGTTGTGAATATAAGAACCCTTCAGGGCAGTCTGTGGGTATCGACAGCCAGGGGCCGTCTCCTTTTTTGTAAGGAAGACCTATCTGAAATGGCGTTCAGTAGAAGCGGTGTGCGTCCACCGTGCTGGGCCGCACTGCCGTGCGTTCATTTTCTGTGGGGGGGGGGGGGGGGAGAAGGATGTTTGAGTTGTGTCTCGGGGAATCCCCGACACAGACACAAACACCACGCGCCATCCCATTTTACCTTTCCACACCACACTATACTATAAAGTAAAACAAAATAATGCGCTCAAATTTCAACGTGTGAACTTGAAAAAAAAAAAAAAAAAAGATTCGACC